GTGGTGGGGGGCAACAGGCTTGTTGGATCTTTCTGCTGGCATCCAGCATACCTGGGTCTGCTCTGCCTGCTGGTGCGGGGGAATGCCGGGGAGCAGATGGCTGCAGGGCCCTGCTGACTGCCGCGGCGCCTGTGCTGGGAGCTGCCTCTCCCTCCCCAGGCTGCGCTGACAGGCCTTTCCCTGTGCTCGCCTTTCAGATTCGCACAAAGTGGATCCCGATGGTGAACGGAGGAGTTGAAAAGGGCTCCAGGTACCGTGTGTGGCATGGTCCGTGGGTGGAGAATTGGGGGATTCTGCAGGCTGTGGGGTCCCCACCACCTTTGCATCGTGCAGAGGTTGCTCAGATCAAACCAACTTTGTGGCTTATGGCCAGACCACTTGTAGCAGAAGGACGTGGGGGCTTTTCTCCCTCGCAGATCTAGCTGAGGCAGAGGGCCATGGGAGAGGGTTCCTTCCCCCCTTGATCTCTTCTCAGCCAGGCAGGGAGAGGAGGCTGCCAAAGGAGTAAGGGAGCACAGAAGCCACAATCTGTGTGTGGATCGCTTAGGCAGGAGGCTGCTGTGCTGGATTAAAGGCTCCCGAACATAATGTTGCTGGGTGAAAGCGTAAGCTGGATCAGGCAGTCTGTTTCTCCAGATGGATGCTCCCAGCCGTGGGAGGCAGAAAAGCTGCTGTGGACCTTGCGGAGGCGGGTGGGGAGGCTCCCCGGCTTGCTGCCTGGGACCACGCGTGGCTGGGGCAGGGCCAAGACCAAGAGAGGGGTGGCTTCACTCGTGCTCTCTGACACTCCCGTCTTTCTTCCCCAGGATCCCCATTATTTTAGTGGGAAACAAGTCTGACCTGCAGGTGGGGAGCTCCATGGATGTCATCCTGCCCATCATGAACCAGTTCTCGGAGATCGAGACCTGTGTGGAGGTGAGGGAACTGGAGGGTTTCTGCAAAGCCTCCTTGAGGGGTAGGAGTGCTTGCCTGGTGTGAGCCAGGGAGCCTTCGTGCTTGTGGAGATTTGCCGTGCTAATGTTACTCTGCAGAAGTGCCCCAAGCTGGGTCTTGAGGGCCTGTGCTTTAGGCTTTCTGTCCTTTGCCTTCCTCGCAGGGAGTGCGTTTCAGTGTCTGCCCACTCCGGCCCTCTAGCTGTAACTGGTGTTGGGGCTTCGTGCAGCCCCTGTTGGCTCTGTGGCTGTGGAATGGGCGCAGCAAAGCCAGAGCACAAGCAGGAGTTTTCCCTTTTATTTTTTGGTGGGCAGACATTGCTCTGTGCTTTGATGCACAACTTGTCTGGCTCAAGGAGCTCATATCATCCTCCTCCTGCCCCTTGTCACCAGCCCATCGCCTGTCCCCGCTCACAGGGCTGTCTCTTCCTTTGAATCCCCAGTGCTCTGCCAAGAACCTCAAGAACATCTCTGAGCTCTTCTACTATGCCCAGAAAGCTGTGCTGCACCCCACCGCCCCCCTCTATGACCCAGAGGAGAAGCAGGTAGGAAGCACGGCTCACAGCCCCTGGAGGAGTCTCCTTCCCATCACAGCGCTCTGGTCTGGTGCTGTGCTTCTGCCCCTGGGTAGGAGGGTGGAAGGTTTGGGCCGAGGCAGCCAGAACAAGGGGAAAGCGGTACCCCTGGGGGGAGCTGACAGAGGGGAAAATACTCATCTCCCGTGCTCAGTGCAGCCAGCTGAGTATATCCAGGCCAGAGAGATCTGCAAGGACTGGGAGCATGTTGGGATAGAAGCCCTCGTGCTCCAGACCGTGTGGCAGCCATGGTGGGAAGGGTCCAGGAGAAAACTTCCCTGTGGGCTGTCCTGCTTCTGACTCCTGCCTCCAAGATGGCTGTGGCACTGGCCTAGCTGGACCATGTTCCCAGCCGGTACAGGAAGGGAACTCCTCTGCGCATGGGGTTTCAGGAGGCAGGAGGAAGGGCCAGGCTGAAGGTGGTGCCCTGTTTTTGTCACCATGGTTGGTCTCTTGCAGCTGAAACCTGCATGTGCCCGAGCGCTGACCCGGATTTTCAACCTCTCAGACCAGGATAACAACCAGATCCTTAGTGATGATGAACTCAACTACTTCCAGGTAGGGCTGGCTGCAGAGCTGAGATATTCCCCAGTCCCTTGTGGAAAGCCCCTTTCTGTCCAATACCAGGCAGAAAGGCTGCCCCGCTCCTGACACAGCTGTCCTGTTTGCATTCAGTACTTCTGCTGTTGCACAGCTAAAGCACCGTAGGGTGTATCTTGGAGCACATGGGGATCCACGGGTCTTCCGTCTTCGCTAAGCGTGGGCCGAGTTTGCTCTGCAGTGGGAAGAGCAGGAGGCTCTGGAGATATTGAGAGTCACGTTATTGGGATGCTGAAGGACAGGGGTTTGGTCAAGGCAGTAATCCCTGAGCTGGGTGGATTTTCTCTCCTAGAAACACCGACTCCTTGCCAGGGGAGAGGCATGCTGGTGAGACAGAGGATTGCGCTGTCTGTGTGCTTTGCTGACGATGACCTTTTCTCTTGGGAGGTAGAAGTCCTGTTTTGGAAACCCACTGGCTCCCCAGGCCCTGGAGGACGTGAAGATGGTTGTGTGGAAGAACACCACAGACGGGGTGCAGGACAACGGCCTGACGTTGAACGGTAACGGTACAAGGGCTCCATGTCCCTTCCCAGCAAGGGATGGAGGGACCCATCTCCTTCAGCACATTGTGAGGGGGCCCTGTCCTCGGGCTGAGCCTCCTGGCTCTCATTCCAAGCCTGATTAGTCCCTCTTGTCAAAGCAAGCCTGAGCCTGCTGTGGCTACTAGAGCTCTCTGTCCAAGCAGCCTGTTTTCCCAGGGAAAGCATGGTTCCGAGGAGTGGATCCCCGAGGCTGAGTGCTCAGTTGGCCCCACTGTGTCTGAGCTGCCTGATCTCTCCTGCAGGCTTCCTCTTCCTCAACACGCTCTTCATCCAGAGGGGCCGGCACGAGACCACCTGGACCATCCTTCGCCGCTTCGGCTACGATGATGAGCTGGAGCTGACGGATGACTATCTCTACCCACAGTGCGTATCCTGCCACGGAGCGGGGCGGGCAGGGTGTGACAGCCCCATGGTGTGCAACTCAGGCTCCCCAGTACCTTTGCTGGCTCCTTTCTGCACCCTGGGCTCTACCCCGTTCCTCAGCTGAGGCTGAATCCTCACCCTCACGGTCAGGTTCATGCTCCTCACCTTCCCCTGCGGGCAGGAGCTGACGCACGGGGTTGGCGACGAATACAATGGGCCTTGGAGCTGCTCACTGTGCTGCTGGCTCTCATGTAGGCGGGCGAGGAGACGGGGAATGAAGGCCTGTCCCTGACTTCCCTTGACATCAGCAAGGGGTTTTTGAAGGCTGTTCTGCCTCTGCCTGAGCTGGGAGCGGCGAGCTGTCAGCATAGCCCTCCCGGCTGATTCTGCAGCTGCTGTCTCTTCTCTGCTCCCTGCCACTCCGGAGGTGGTGATCTGGCAGTAATGAAAGGGTTTGGCTTGTGAGCTGCCTCATCCTCTCCCCAGACAGCAGGCTGCGCGGGGAGGCGACAGGGCCTGTGCTGGTGGAAGGCACCCCGGGGCTAGTGCTGTGCCCTACTGAAGCCCTGGGCACGAGGCAGAGCGAGGGCTACATCATCTCCCTAGCTGCTTGGGCAGCGCGGATGTGCTGAGGAGAGGCCACTGTGCACCCTCGAGGGCTTCTCCCCAAAACAAGGGGGCTGTGTCAAGGGATAGCCAGGCCTGGAGACAACTGCTGGCCTTGAGCAGGGAGGGAGTGGGGAGCTGTGTGCTCTGGGTGAGATCTGGCTTGTCTGAAGACCCGCTCACACGCTGCCCTTCATTCGGGGCCTGAGGAGGCTCACTTGGGTCTCTTCCGACAGGTTCCGCCTTCCCCCTGGCTGCTCCACGGAGCTCAACCACTTGGGCTACCAGTTCCTGCAGCGGCTGTTTGAGAAGCACGACAAGGTGGGCAGCACGCGATGGAGCTGCCTGGGGAGGGGATGCTCTCCACTAGGCCTGCACGTTTGGGCGTAGCTGCTCTCCTGTCCACCGCTCTGTTCCAGGGAGCAGCCGTAGCGCCAGTGAAGGGCTTTCTTCTGCCACAGTGCTCTCTTCACCGCTTCTTGCCAAGGCTTTGGGAGCAGGAGGTGGTCACAGCAAGCTGTAGGTAGTCTGATGGCAGCAGCATGTCAAGGGTTGTGGTCATTACCCTTTGACCAACGGGTAAAGTTTGGGCTTTCAGGGGATGAGTCAGAGTTAACATCAAACTGGTACGGACCCTCGTAGTGCCTGGCTGCAGCACGCAGAGTGGCAAGGAAAGCGGGCACAGCTGCTGGCCTGCAACTACAGACCAAGCACAGGCATCTGCACGGCTGCCAGCCCTGTGGAGGGGGTGCCAGGCCAGAGAGGGGGACAGAAAGCAACAGATTTGTGCCATACTCTGGCTCTTTGGCGAGTGGGAGAAGTGGATGTATTGGATCTGCATGCACGTGCTCGGACTAGTTATTCAGATGTTGATGTGCACCTGGGGTACGGCAGCGCTGTGGCCACGGGGAATTGCAGCACGGAGTGGATGCGTGTCGCTGTGTGCCCAGATCCTCTGTGGCATGGCCCTGTGGCACACCAGCCTGAAGGTGCTGCCTTGGCATGTGGTTAGCTGGTGGCCAGTGGCCCACGGCCGCACACAGACCTTCCGTTAGTTACCCTGCAGCATGGGCTGATGCAGGCTGCTGCAGGGTGGCTCAGGGCTGTGGGGTGACTGTGAATGGGTCCTGCCCAGCAGCAGGGCTGGCACTAGTTCCAGCTGCAATCACAGAGCAGAATTGGCCTGTCTCTTGTGCAGCGATGGGAGTCCCTGGGGCGCAGGCTCTCTGCACGCTCACACGGCTCTGGCCTTGCTTGCAATTGATTTCTGCCATTGAAAGCATCCCTGTGTCATTCTGCAGCAGTGAGCAGGGTGGCTTGTGTGCCAGGGACCCTCTCTGGACCCCGACAATGCTTGGTGTGGCTGGAGAGAGTCGCCAGTGTGTGCATGGGCTGTGTCCTGCCGCAGGTGCTGACTCCCCTTTGTTTTGGCAGGACCAGGACGGAGCCCTCTCCCCCGCAGAGCTGCAGAACTTCTTCAGCGTCTTCCCCTGCGTGCCCTGGGGCCCCGAGCTCTACAACACGGTATGCACCACTGATAAAGGCCTGCTTTCCCTGCATGGATTCCTCTGCCAGTGGACGTAAGCTCAGTCCCTCTCCCCCGTCTTTAGTCACGTCGCTAAGCCCTTGCTGACCCTGTTGGCTTCCCGGTGCGCTCTATCTCTCCAGGCTCGTGGCTTATCTGGATGTGCGGCACTGCCTGGAGTGCCTGGGCTACCTGGGCTACCCCATCCTCTCAGAGCAGGACTCACAGACACAAGCCCTCACGGGTACGGCCATGCCCTCCCCTCCTGTCACAGCTCAGCTCCCTCCTCTTGCTCACCCAGCCTCTCTCCTGCCAGTGACTCGGGAGAAGAGGATCGACCTGGAGAAAGGCCAGACCCAGAGAAACGTCTTCCTCTGCAAGGTGCTGGGAGCCCGGGGCGCAGGCAAGTCCGCCTTCCTGCAGGCCTTCCTCGGCAGGAGCCTCGCGGTGAGTGGCTGCTCCCCTCTCCGGCCGCGCTGCGGCAGGGTGTCCCAGCGG